CTAAAAATTCAATGAACATTCTAAAAAGATCGAGACAAAATGTCCAACTTCTTCTGCTACAGCTTTCTCTCAATCTCTTTCAAATTAGTTCATCTATGAAAAAGAGAAAGTAAGGAGGTGTAATTAAAAGAATTTAAAAATATATATTTTAAGTTCTTCAATCGAGTACATAAATAAAAAATATAGAAGAGAACGGAAAAACTAAAGAGATAAAATTACTATAATATTAATTTTATTGTAAGATTCTACATCTTCTTTACTATCAATATTAAAAACAATTTTCATTGACATGCGTAAAATCTTCCGTATTTTTTCTTACTTAAAAGCTACTTGTCTAGTTTTAGATTTAGAAGAACTACCAAATTTTTTATTTTCCCGGAGTTTTCGGTAAATACATTAGTGACTGCACCAAAAATGTTTGTTTACCCTTGCCAATATTTTTTTACCGGAGTCCATATTAAAATATTAAAAAGTAAGCAAATTATATAAAATACAAAAATTAAATACAAACAAATAAATAACTAAATAAGTAATGAATAATGACTAAAAAGATTAGAGTTGGAACGAATGTACCAAACGTCTATTTAAAAGTAGACGTATGACCAAAAGCGGAAAATTGAAGCTTGAAGGTTGCTCCAAAAACCAAAATAATCCACCAAAATTGCTTTCAAACTAATATAATTTGTAATTTAATAGAGATTAGAGACTTGAGAGAGTAGAAGATGAAGAAAATTTGTGAGTAACAATAATAAAGATTTGAGGGTTTTTATAGTTAAAAAATAGGACTAAAATGTATTCTTTAAAACTTTGGGGTATTAAAAAAAGTTTGGAGGTAGGGGGATCTTTATTTTTGTGGGGGGGGGGGGGGGGGTTAGGGGGTGAAATGGCCGTTGGGTGGGCCCAATAGCTGTTACCCAACGCCTGGAAACGGCTAGTTTAATTTAATTTTTAAAAAATAATTAACAAAGTCCGCAAAACCGGACCAGACCGGGGCAGAATAAACTCTTCTCACCGAATTTTTCTAAGTTAAGGTCATTTTTTAAAAACTTTATCAAGCGGAGAAAAAATGTAAGACCGAACCCTCATGGGGACAAAAAATTGTTCAAAACTAAGAGAACATGCATAGGCAAAAGAAGAGGATATTTTGATTTCAAAATAGAAATATTTGCAAGACATATTGGCAACAAGAATAGGGAACCTTGAGCAATCAATTAGAATTCATGACCCCATTCTGCAGCATATGTTCATAAAACCATATCAAACATAAATAATTATGGCAAGCACATCCATTTAACTGCAAGGGGATCTTTCATGGACTACTTGGATTGGTGTTGAATGAACCAACTAGTCTATCAGGACACACTATATAGATGTGAGATTATGTTGAAATAATTTCTTTCCCATTCTATTCGCCTCCCATCATCTGCAAAACCCGATAAGTTATTACGCAATAACAAAACACAAGAGGGAGAGAGAGCTTTGAAAACAAACGCCAAGAACTGGTTAAAAGAAAAGAAAATGCTAGGTTTGGTTGGGGGGAATTTATGTTCTCACAGTATACAAATAACTACCTTGAATTTATGGAATGTGGCAAGACAATTTGTTTTTCTACCTAACTAGTGGCAAGTACATTTTAACCTACAGAAACTAACTCGATAAGGCTTGTTTGAGTGAGCATCAGCTGGAAAGGTAAGAACTTGAGTAATGTGATAACCAACAACAAATAGGCCAAACAAGATTGAGTGGTTAACAAGGCTTCCCGTTTCTTCACTAACTACTTGGATTTTAGATTCTGGGTCAGCAAGAACGGAACCTAATTCAGGAAGTGAGAATGAAACCCACTAGGTTATCTAGCTAGTGGTTAGACAAGTTTTGTGTGTGTATATAATTATGAAAATCGACCCACCACTTCTTATTCTGGACAAAGGAGTCCTGTCTATTTCACTAATTCGGGGAAGATACTGAATTTTTTGTATTTGAAAAAGATTTCTGAAGGGATATCTGAAGTAGATGGTGGTTGATAAAGAACTCTCTGATCATAATTTCCCACATGAATACTGCATCGAACATGAAACTTGTGGTTGGTGGTAAAACACTGATTCGCTCGTTGAGACCTAATTCGATATATATATAACAAGCACACTTCAGCCTCCAAAAGTCTAGTCAGTCATCTACTCGATCCCAAATGTTTTGCTTACATCAAAGATACAAGGTAGATAAAAGAGAACAATCCTTGTATTGAACGGGGAAGTCTGATTCATCAAAGGATAAGTGGTTCTGGCATGAAGATAGATTTTGATGTTCATACTAGCTAGTAAAACATGCCTTATTACTGAAAATAGAGTTGTTTCATTTTTCTCTACAACTTCAGGGAGTTCATTCATATATGTTTTTATAATTTGCAAGTGCCCCTAGAGGGTGGGTAATGTTCTACAATTAAAGAGAACAATGCTTTTGTGTTTTGTCAGTAAATTCTTAAATTGCTAAACCTTGACAATATTATATTACCTTGAAGATATCACCAAACATGCCTTGAAGAGGACTTTTACGTTGTACGCCATAGAACTTCTTTGCAACTTCATCTAGCAACTAAACCACAGAACAGTAAAAGATGTGAATTACGAGGAAAATCATCAGTCTAACTGGATGGAGAATGGAGTCATTAAACAACAGAACAAAACTACAAAGAGAATCATTCATCATAAATATTGAAGAAGGCACATTACTCGCATTTTCAAAGAGCTTACCTCATTAAATAGAGGATCTCTATCTATGCTAGACTTGTAGTTCTGTCTCAACATATTAAAGAGAGGTAAAGCATCTCTCTGCAACCTGAATTACAAATTGCCTTCAATTCATTTGACTTTAATGAAGTAAAAGACACGAGGACAATCACAAGGCCTCAATGCCAGTGCAGAAGCACCAATTTGCAAGATCTGACAGACAGAGGGGAGGGTACAGAAGGAATGTTTGTAAAATTTGCGAACTTACTAATGATAGACAGTTGGAGTGATTCAAAATGAGAAAGAGGCAACAGCATATAAAAAATTTAAAAATAAATGCTTTTTAACACATCAAAATAAAAAGTAAAGTATTCAAAAAACATACTGAGACTTACGTCAGCGAAAGGTAGTTGACAAACTGCATTAATTCTGACTGAGGAAAGTCAAGATGCTTCAGCTGCATTTCCGTTTCCACCTCATCCATGAGCTTGTTAGCATCTCTTAGATTTCCCAGAGACAAGTACCTGCCAAAGCAGAATGACAAAATGAAACTATATGCTCGACCTACAAGCTAAAAACTAAAAAAAGCGTAAAAAAGACTCTTGACTGGAACATCAGTCAAATAGAGAATTTAAACAGCTAGATAAACATATTCTAGTTTATGGTTCTCAGCGGGGAATTTTACACTCATATTAAAATTTGTTAGGTATATGCATAGAAAGAATGTTTCAATTTTAAATAAATTTGTGTCCAAATGTATTTTCTAAGATGCCTCGCCACCATGTTCCCTAGCATTCTGGTAGCCATTTGTGTTCCATCTACTGGAACAAACCGAAAGTGATTAATCTGGTTGACAAATATGCACAAAGATCGAACATTACAATGAAAGAGGCAATAATATGCAGAGCTACAATAGTGCAAATGCTTAGAAAATTGCAAATATTTACAGACCTTGGAGTAACTGTAAAGTGTAAAATAATTTATTCAAATACAATGTTCCTAATATGAACCAGCACAAATGGGATATACTGAGCAGAACAGTAATTGAATGCAAGGCACTTATTCATATTACAACTCTGCTTACATCAAAATTGCCCGGGCAATAGCCAAATCATCCTCTCCTGGATAGCACTGCAGGTTAAATGTTATGAATTACATTATATTTCAAATCAAGTCAATTGCCCACAAAAAATTTCATGAAACTGCTGCCTAGCAAAAGCAACAAAATGCTAAAATGGAAGAAAAACTATATTTCCACAGGAAACTGGAGATCCAGCTTTTGAACCTAATATATTTGCTCGTGATATCTAGATAGCGAAAGAATCACAGGAATCAGTGCTTACCTTTCCCATAAAATTGATGATAGTCGATGCAAATTTCTTGAGATTCCTTCCTCTAACAAAATGAAAAGATACTTTAACCATATCCTGCAAAGTAAGAAGAATGTAAGGAGGTCCACCACATTTCCAATGATTGGCCTTGGAATCCAATTTCGTTAACTGTCGGCCACTACTTCCTTTCAATTTCAGATAGCAAAGTACTGTGAGGAAACATTAAGACCGCTGCTGGCAAAGACACTACAGTCATAATATGAAAATATTTAACAGCTACTACAAGCAGGTCAAGTAAGTGGAAACCTAGACTAACGGATAAATATAATCTTATGCTTTAGCCTCTTTCAAGTTATAGTTCCATACGGTATGTTAAGTATGAGCAGGGTGAAAAAGGCGGTCATTAGCAACAGTTGGACTCTAAAACAAGATAATCATTCATTTTATTGCCAGTTCTTAATTTTGTGAATCGTCTTAGTCATGTTAGAACCTAATCTTTCTTTCTAGAAATGAAGATAGAACCATGTAAGTAACATAACGGGCATTTCATGTTTCTTTTAATAAGCATAAAAGAGCATCAAGCTTGGAGAACATACCACTTCAGGAGATTGAGAATACATATAATCTGCCAGCATCTCATGCAGCTCTGGAGATCCGTACCTAAGTGCACCAAATTCTGCTGACCACCTATAAAAGAACAACATTTTCTCACCAAAAGATGCTAATAAATAAATGAGGTCATAGAACATTGAAAGAGGACAAGATGTCGCCGCTTAATAAAACCACCAAGATAATTTTCCCCGAGAACTTTTTTTAAAAATGTTTCAAAAGACCACCAATTTACGGAAACTCATTGGGTGCAGCTCTTTAAGTATTTTACAGAATCATGTATATAGAATTAACTGCCACTCATCGCGTCTGATCACATTCACAAAGTAGGAATTAGTCTCTAGTCTCTAGTCTCTAGGATAAGAGTGCTGAGGTAACAGAGAAGTTAGGTCCTCACCATGTCCTCATCATACATTGTTCTGTTTGTATAACTTGGTGTCAAGAACTTCATTTCCACACATTGCACATACTCCTTTACTATAAGCACGGGTATGACAATACTTAGCATCTTGATGCACTTGTTGCTTGCGAAGAGTGCGTTTTGTATTTCCGTGAGGTGTCCACTTTCTTTTTATTGTTCTCGTTAGGCTGCCACCTTCAGTATCATTGCTGGCACCTTCTTTTCCATTTTTAGGCAAAATCACTTTCGACAACTTGCACTTGCACTTCGTGGACTTGGTCGAAATAAGTTGACACAGAACAGTGTTGTCATAGGCTCGCTTTAAGCGCGCTTAAGCCCTGAAGCGAAGTTCAAAACATGTTGAGCATTTCGCCTCGATAAATGTGTGCTTCAGTGTGTATTCAAGATTCTAAGGCTAATTGCTTCCAAATTTGTATCTGGGGAAGATCTGCCCTGTGAACTCATAATCGTGTATGAGCTCTTATAAAGAGACAGTGGCACGGTTTATTTTTTGAAAATGGTAACGATGTATTATATCACAAAAGTACATGGGTTGTACTCAAACCTTATATACAAATGCACTCTAGACACTCCTACCCTATTTCTATATTGAGTCTAAAACATCAACTATAGAGGCAGTGTCATTTGAGTATAATTGATTACACCAAAAACATAGCAACAAAATGCAGTTTAGTTTAACATCCTGCACACTATTTTCTATGCCTTCAAAACATCTGGAATTCCTTTCTTTCCAGATTGCCCACCATATTGAAGCAGGGATAATTCTCCATCTAGTTCTGTCTTTTGCAAGGGCACCTGCCTCCTCCCAGCTGTACAAGGCCTCAGTAACTCTCCTAGGCATAGTCCAGGATATGCCTTTAAGGCTCAAGAAAATCTTCCAAAGCTGCCGAGTGTATTTGCAGTGTAGAAATAGATGGTTTACAGTTTCTAAGGTTTCCCCACATAGGAAACACCTAGAGCATAAGGTTATCCCCCTTTTCATTACATTATCCTGAGTCAGGGCAGCTTCCTAGCTAGCAGCCAAATAAAGCATGAGACTTTGTGGGGAATTCTACACTTCCATATTTGTTTTCAAGGCCAGATGGGACTCTGCTGGCTTGATTGATCCATCAGCCTGTAAGCTGAATGCACTTTGAACTCTCCTCTATTGTTGCCTTTCCACCAAATCATATCCTCATATGCCTTAAGTCCAGTAAAGCGTCCAACCATGTTGAGGAATTCTGCCAACCTCATCACTTCCCAGTCATTTGGTTCTCTCCTGAAGATGAAATTCCACCCTTGTGGTGTCCATAGTTCTGCAATAGTTCTTTGTTGGAACATTGCCAGATTGTAAATATCAGGGAAAAGAGTTTCCAGGTTACCTTTCTCATGCCATTCATCCTTCCAAAATTTGATCTTGTTCCCATTCCCCACTTTCATCTTGAATTTGGGTTTAACTTCCTCCCATAATGCTCTTATGGATCTCCATAAACTGGTCCCATAAGGTGTGGTCACAATCTTAGTCATCCAACTATCTTCATTCTCATATTTGGCACCTATCACTCTTCTCCAAAGTGTTTGGTTTTCATTTGAGTATTTCCACAACCACTTCATTAAGAGTGATTTGCCATGTAGCTCCATATTCTTTATTCCTAGACCACCATTCTTCTTTCCAGTTGTCACTGCATTCCATTTAACTAGATGAAAGTCTCTATTCTCTTTGTTTCCTTGCCACAAGAACTTCCTTCTTATGTTGTCTAGTCTTTTAGTGATCCCTGGTGGGATGGGAAATAGAGACAACACGTAAGTTGGGAGAGCATCCAGGACTGAGTTAATGAGGGTCAGTCTTCCCCCACTTGACAAGTACTGAGTTTTCCATCTGGCCAGCTTCTTCTCACACTTCTCTATCACACCATTCCAAATTTCTAAGGACTTGGATTTTGCTCCCAATGGCATACCCAAATATGTTGTAGGTAGAGTACCTACTTCACCCCCTAGAATTGAAGCTAACAAGTCTATGTTGTTGCCCTCATTGATAGTATACGTATAACTTTTTATCCAGTTAATGTGCAACCCGGATACCCCTTCAAGCAGCACCAGGATCACCCTTAAGTATTTCAGTTGGTCTTCCTCAGCTCCACAAAAAATCAGTGTATCATCTGCATACTGAAGATGTGTCACTTCCAAGCTTTCTGTATTTTCTCTAGCCACATCAAAACCTTTACCCATCCTCTCATATTTGCTGTCTTGAGCATATTATTCAGCCCCTCCATAGTAATTAAGAACAAGAAAGGGGACAATGGATCACCCTGCCTGAGTCCTCTTTGAGTTTGAAAAAACCCTGCAGGGGACCCATTAATCAGAACAGAGAAGCTAACTGTAGAAATGCAGAAGCTAATCCAGTTCAACCATTTTTGTCCAAATCCCATCATCTCTAAAATCTTCAGAAGGTACTTCCAATTCACATGATCATATGCTTTTTCTATGTCCAGCTTGCATAGAATGCCAGGTTTCTTCTGCTTAATCCTGGAATCTACAGCTTCATTAGCAATCAACACTGCATCCATAATTTGTCTCCCTTTTTATAAAAGCCATTTGCTGTGAGTCCACCAGTCTATCTATCACAGCTTTCAACCTTTCTGTGAGAACTTTGGAGAGTATTTTGTAAATGCTCCCTATGAGGCTAATTGGTTTGTAATCCCTTAACTCGTTGGCTCCTTTTTTCTTTGGAATGAGTGCAATGAAAGTAGCATTGAAACTCTTCTCGAAGACTTCTTGCTCATAAAAGTTTTGAAATGTGTCCATGATGTCTTTCTTCAGTACATCCCAACACTTGATGAAGAAACCCATTGTGTACCCATCTGGACCAGGAGTCTTATCGGCTACACATAGCTTTAGGCAATTTAAAACTTCATTCTCCTCAAATCTGCCTTGCAGGGACATTTTCTCCTCTTCAGTCAACATTGGCCATTCAGCATTATTATAAGAAGGTCTCCATTGATGTGTTTCTCTATACAGGTTCTTATAATATGCTATTATCTCCCCTTCAATTCTGCTTTTCTCTTGAGTAACCTCTCCTTGTATCATGAGTTGATCTATATTGTTATATCTCCTGTGAGCATTTGCCATTATGTGGAAGAATTTGGTGTTCTTGTCTCCCTCCTTCAACCATAGTACTCTTGATTTTTGTCTCTATGAAACTTCCTCTTTCTTGACTAGCTCTTCATACTCAAGTAAGACTGCAGCCTTTTTTGTCGTTTCCTCCACAGTGAGAGTTCTTTTTACCCTTTTTGTATCTAATTCTGCTAACTGCTCTAACAATCTCCTTCTTTGACTGCCCAGATTTCCACCCTCCTCTTGTTTCCATTCCTTTAGCTTAAGTTTCAGTGCTTTAAGTTTGCATGCCAAAACATAATCAGGTCTTCCTGTGTAGCTGAAGGAGCTCTACCACTCTCTAACTCTATCCACAAATCCTTCTGACTGCAGCCACCAATTTTCAAACTTGAAGTAGCTTTTATTCCTCTCCCAGCAACCAGTAATCAAAGCTATTGGTATATGATCTGAGCCCAGCCTTTGAAGAGGAATCTGTTTCAAATTGTTGAAGGTATCATCCCATTCTTTAGAAATCATGATTCTATCAATTCTGGAGGTTGCCTCCTGTTGGTCTCCATTAAACCATGTGTATGCAGCATCTTCTAATTGCATGTCAACTAATTCCATGTCCTCTATGAAATCAGAAAGCTCTCTCATTCCCTTAGTTCTTCTGTTGCAGTTCTTCTTCTCAGATATGTACCTAGATACATTGAAGTCCCCACACATTGCCCAGGGTCCCTCTATCAGGCCCCTTACTGAGCTCAATTCTTCCCATACAAGTCTCCTTTCCTTGTAACAGTTAGGAGCAAACACTCCAGATATATGGCAGCTAAAATTCTGGGTTTGTGATTCAAATTTACAAGTAATGGTGTAAGAACCAATTTCCAAGACCTCCCCCATCCATGCCCTCGCATCCCACATCAGTAAGATACCTCCTTTTGTTCCACTAGCTTCTAGACAGACATATCTAATCCACCCGCCTCCCCAAATCTGCTTTACCATCTCTGAGATATCCCCTTCAATTTTTGTTTCTTGGAGACAAACTATATCTGCTCTCCATCCAGACAACAAACTAAGTACGACCCTTCTCTTCTCCCTATCGTTTAATCCCCTAACATTCCATGATATTAGCTTAAACTTCATCATGTGTTGAAGATTGTGTTCCTCCCCTTATTCCTACTCCCAGAACTTTTAAATTTTACATCAAAGGCTACAAGACTTTTAAGCTCTTGTGCACCCTTGATCTTGAGTTTCTTAACTTCTGTATCCTGCTCCATTCTCCTGACTTGTCCTCTTCATGCTCTTGGAAATCGATCCCAAAGATTTTCCCTAGATTTATCAAGTTCTGTTGTACCCATGCTGAATTCGCTTTATCTATATCTTGAGCCATTTGTTGTTGTTGCACCATAATTGGTACAGGTTCCTCCACCTCCCAATTAACTATTTTTGTGTTTGAGCTCTGTATTGCTAGCCTAGTCTCCCCTGACTTTGTAATTTTTCTATCATCTCCCCTATCTATGGAGTTAGGTTCTTCCTCTCCCGGTATCATCAAATCTCCCCTGATTTCTTCCTCCAGCAGCTCTGTCACGATTCATGTTCTGCTTTGCTTCGCCTGAATTGGACACGTGCAAGGCTGTTATGTCACCAGCCAATATATGGTCCTTCTGGGTTTCTGTGCAGCCGAGCTTTGTCCCTTGTAAATCATTAAAAATGACATGTGCTGCAAAATCAGGGCCATTGGGCCATTTAGAATTGGTATTCTTCTTGGGCTTTCCTGATGGGCCTAGTTCAGCCCTCTCATTTAAAAAACTCACATGCCTCTCACGTGCTCCATTCCCAATTATCTTTCCAGCTGTCGAAGTACACCCACGTGCTTCGACGTACTAAAATCCCTAAAAGGATGGGATTTTGGTACTATGTCGCAGATGTTTACGCCATCAGACCTCTGGATAAATCTATTCCCTGGGCACAGGACCTCATCTTCCCCGGCGACTATGCCTCCACTTTTCGACCTTATTTCGAATCTGGGTTGCTTTCTGCCCAAACTGGAAAAAAATATGTAATTCCATCACAAGCGACAGAGACCTCTCTCGGAAGGTTTCTCCCGTTGTTTTTCACCAGAATCCTTGCCCACTTCAGGTGGTTTTTTAGCTCAGTTTCTTCTTCTGTCTCAATCCAACCTCTACACAGATCCCCAATTTCTTGGAAGACCTTCCTAGACCACAAATGCAATGGAATCCCCAGTACTCTAATCCAAGTTTCACGCACAGTTGAGGGGCTAGGAGTGCACCCTGTTGTTGGGCTCCACCAATCTAGATGAAATATGCTACTCTTCCACCTCCATTGGCCTTGGATGATCAATTCTACCATGTATCTATTGGGGAATTCGAAAAGGAACATTTCGCTGTTCAATTCATATATGTTGACTCCAAAGACCTTTTTCCAGTTTGTGGAGGACCAGCTCCTGATATCCACCAGAGTTGGTTTCTCCTTCTTGCCTGCAGTGCAATATCCTATAAGGCATCTCTTGAGGAGATCTTCCTCCTGAATATTCACTGGCTTAGTAATCGGAATGCTTCCTTTCTTGGTGTTTATCTCGGCTCCTCTTAAATTACTGCTCCCCCATTTACTCTGTTGGACAGCCTCAGCATAAGAGTATTCATCCTCCGTCACCCTTGAGAAAGAATGTTCCTTCTCTCTTTGCTGACATTTAATGAATCTCTCAATCTTTAATGCAATATCCACCTACCCTGCATTTAATGCAAGTTC